GGGAAAAAAAACAACCCCAAATTTACACTTCAGATGGACAAACCGAGGCTGTGGGGCTTTCCGGGGCGTCCGGTCAAGGCCATGATCCCTACACACCTTTGAGACTTAGACTTGGAAGACATGGTTACTCTTTGTTTTAATTATTTTTCTTGGGTTTTGGGGTTTATGCTGTATTTATTTTTGCTTAAGAGATCCAATAATATTTAAAAACAAGCTGGCCTGGCGGTTGAAATTAATTAAAAAATGAATTATATAGAAGGAAGGGGAGGAGCCTGGTGAGGGTTTGCTCCGTGTTATGGGAATGGGAGGGTTTGGGTGCGATCCTGCACCCCACTGTCTCATCTCCCCTTCCTCACCGTGTTTCCCGATGGGTGCCGACCCTACAGATCTCTCCCCACCCAGCGCCCTGACCCCAAACCCCCTTCACCCCGGTTAGAGCCCAACTCTCCCATCTCCATCCCTCGCAGGAAGATGTTAGGATGCTGCAGGTCAGGATTTTCCCCTATGAACAGCACAACTGAGCGCTTCCAACTGGGAATTGCTGCCGTTAAACTACCTATCTTGCTATTCCTGCTTTGCAAACATCACCGTAACAGGTTATTTTACCCGATTACTGGTGAATCTGTAAGTGCCGTGGTGCCACATGCTGGAAAAACGCCTTTTCCAGGTTCTCTTCCCTCCCAAGCTCCATAAGAGGCTTTATTTTCCTACGGGAATGCTAGCACACATCAGAGAAAATATCTGGAGCCTGATCCTGCCAGCAGCCCGATGGGCAGAGGGTCACCACATTTTGGGGACGGTAGATGGAGGGCTTGAAAATGATGACAATTTAAAAACAAACAAACCAACCCCAAACCCCTTGGATTTACGGGTATCCGCCGGCTCTTATTGCTATTGTTGGCTGGTTGGGTTTTCCTATCGAAAATAAACCCCCAAATGTGTTTTTTTCCTCCCTCTAGGAAAGCAAGACCCGCTTTCTTGCCCCCCAGCATCCCCACCGGGATGTGGGAGGAGAGAGAGGGGATGGCAGAGATGGGGGGGGTCTCTCCAGGAAGGACCGTATTCAGTGGGATATCGGTGGCTGGGGGAAAACCTGATACCCTCAAATATCCCATAATATTAAAAAAAAAAAGCCTTTAAATAACACTTCACGGTAATTACATCTTGAAACTACAAAAAGCTGAAGTGGGTTATGATTATTCATAAAATAGGGGAGCAAATCCTCACCCAGAGGGGTCACCCACGTGGAGGTGTGATGGGTACAGGCTCCAAGGGGCTCGCTCGCCTTTCCCCCCCCCTCAAATCTTGCATTACAGCTCGTGTTTTAAAGCAGAGAGAACGGCAGGGATGGGTTCATGGTTGTAACAGCGGTTTGATTTCCTTCCTCTTTAGCTGGAATTTTAATCTCCGAGACACTGCAGCCCGCCACGGATGGTTTAACCCCTCCTGCTCTTCCCCGCTAACACCCGGTGTGATCCTTCCCCGTGGGAAACCCTTTCCCTTAACCAACATGGGCGAAGTCCTGCTGGAGTGAAATATTTGGGAAGCTGGTGGCCGCCATCAGTGTCCCCCCAAGGGAGTCCCCCACCAGGCTGTGACCTCCTCAGGACCTTCACTTCAGCCATGATTTGGCCAAGGAAAGGGTTTGGGATCATGGTTTTTCCTCCCAGCCTTCCATCTACCTGAAAACTCATGTCTTTCCGGGGAAAAGGGACAGAGCTACAAGTCACTGCTGGCATGAGGTGGGGGTCATCAAGCCCCACATCCCCATGCGATAGCTTGGAGCAGCTTCCCACTGCCACGGCCCCAGGGATCCACCTTGGGAAGGAGCTACCCAAGCCCGGAGCCGCATGATAGCCCTGGAGTCACGCAGTGGTCTACACCTAAACCCAACACCGGTTGCCAAATACGCTCAGCACAGCCTCTCGCCCAAGAGACAGCGAATATTTCACCTCTTCCCAGCCCGGTTGATGAGCATTTCTGCCTGGGCATAAAGGGATGAGGAGCATCAGATCTGCTACTGATCCCAAAGAAGGAATTAAAACCAAACCGCCCCACGCCAGATTAGCAGTACCACCGGACAACCCTCCATGTTCAGCTCCTGGAGCTTTCTAGATCACCTTTAGTGTTTTCTTTCCATTCAGGAGAAAGCCTAGCATCTCCTTCCCAGGTCAAATTTTAGCAGTCATTCCTAAAGCAGTGAAGGGTGCTGGTGGTGGGACGGTGTCCGCTGGGAAAGGTGCTCTGCGGAGCCCGGGCTGTGATAACAAAGCTCCTGCAAGTCGTGGTGCCGTCCCATTGGGCAGAGCCTACTCTGTCCTACAGGTTTCAACGCTGATAGACAACTCCTAACACGTAACATGAAGTCAACAGTGAGAGCAAAAAAGGGTATTTGAGAGGTCTTCAGTTCCTGTGATCTACTGGGGTGGTTTTTTGGCCCAGGTTTAACTGTAGCATGCTACAAACAGTGAAGGACGATGGAATACTGTCATTTCCAACTGTCCCATTGCTCTTTATGCCAAGCTGAACGGGGCAACCCTCTGATTATTCACTCTTTTTTTTTCTCCTCTTGCCCTTTTGTACGACCCCAAAGTGCCACCCAAAGTACTACACAAGTCAAATCCACCTTCCCCACCCCACAGCACTGGTGTCTTCGCCCACTTTGTTCCCCTTGAAGTTGGGAAGTTCAACCAGCGCTTTGCTAGATTTTCTTTAAAACCAGCAGAACTACCCAAACTAACCCCCGTACAGAAGCACCGGGACCAGCACCTGACCTGACAAACCACCCGGGATCAACCAGCAGTAGGG